ACTACAACACATTTCTTTTATTATTTTCTTAAAACTCCCCGTCAGCCGACTTCAATTATATAGCATCGGATAGCTCTTTTCACGGGCTACAAAACCATATAGGTTTTAAAATTATTGAAGGTGGGCCCATGAAAAAGTTCAAGACCACAAAGTAGAAACGATGCATATTTTTACGTATAGTACAACATGTTTGATTTTCCATTCCTTCAAAAACTTTCTTAAGTCAACCCGTGTTATAACTTGTCAGATAGCCTTTTCTGTCAGCTATAAACATCTAACATTTTTGGAATGAGAAAAATGGAAACACAATAATGAGAGAGTTATATATTGTTTTTGTAACTTTAAGAGTGATACCGTTTCCTGTTTGTGTTATTTTTTCCAAAAAGTCATATGCGGCATCAATTGTTATACGAGATTCATATTATGATTGACTTCTAGATTATTATAATTATATTAGATAATTGTATGACGACTATTGGCTTCATCACTCTAGTGGTGATCAGATTTGTTTAGATCTTACTTCTCTCGTTTAAAAAAGCGTATGATTTTTGCAAAGACATTCATTTAAATTTAGCCATATTCACACACTGTCATTGGAATTCGTGAAGCAGAAGTTTATGAATCATAGTTACATCTGATATCAATCTACTATTGATATTCTCTGAATGAATTTCATGCTGTATTTGGTTATCATGCATGCACAGAAAAAAGCAGCATCCGGAAAAAACGTAGTGTTGATGTAGGCTGTCAAACAGAAATTGAGAAATCGTGTGCATTGTTTTTCTTCTTTATCATAGAAAAATGGTGAAACAAAGAACCGGTGAGAATCATAGAAAAGGAAGGAGACAAAGAAACCGATGTTGGTGCATACCAGCAGGAACGAGCATTATATGTGAAGGTGAGAAGAACATACGATTAAGAGCGATACTGAAGAGGTAACGTCATTTCTATTTTATCGAAGCTATGCAAAAGGGCGCGTGGCTGTTAAGTTGTAAAAAAAGAGCCACATATCTATAATTTTGTTACATTGTTTAAGAGCACGTATTCTATTATGCCTCATGCAGAGAAAGCTCAATGCTCTGTGTGCAAAAATCGTATAGTTTTTTAAACGAGAAAAGTAAGATCTAAACAAATCTAATCACCACTAGAGTGATGAAGCCAATAGTCGTCATACAATTATCTAATATAATTATAATAATCTAGAAGTCAATCATAATATGAATCTTGTATAACAATTGATGCCGCATCTGACTTTTGGAAAAAATAACAAAAACAGGAAACGGTACCACTCAGGGCTCCGAATGGGCCGGCTCATGGGCCGTCATGGGCCGAAAGTGTTTTGGAAATTACTGTGAGACAAAAGGAGTTGAAAAGTTTTTTTAGAAAGATTCTATGAGACACTAGCTCTGTGGTTTCGTAGGAACTGCGTTTTTTGAACTAGGTCGTTTCTTTTCACAGTTAGGATTCTTTTTTTGAAAACTTTTACATATATGAATCTATAAACACTAAAAATTATCGAATGAGAGCTCTGACTCTTGACAAAAACAACCAACTTTTAAAAATACCGTTTCTACGAAACCACAGAGCTAGTGTCTCATAGAATCCTCTCGAAAAACCTTTTCTACCCCTTTTGTCTCATAGTAATTTCCAAAACACTTTTGGCCCATGACGGCCTATGGGCCCGCCCATTCGGAGCCCTGGTACCACTCTTAAAGTTACAAAAACAATATATAACTCTCTCATTATTGTGTTTCCATTTTTCTCATTCCAAAAATGTTAGATGTTTATAGCTGACAGAAAAGGCTATCTGACAAGTTATAACACGGGTTGACTTAAGAAAGTTTTTGAAGGAATGGAAAATCAAACATGTTGTACTATACGTAAAAATATGCATCGTTTCTACTTTGTGGTCTTGAACTTTTTCATGGGCCCACCTTCAATAATTTTAAAACCTATATGGTTTTGTAGCCCGTGAAAAGAGCTATACGATGGTATATAATTGAAGCTGACTTTCTTGAATTTATATGGATAAAACTAATATGAAAGGTTGTCATGTAATTACTATGTATTCGTCACAAGATCATTCGAAATCATAAGGAAGGAAGTCGTCAAATGTATTGGAAAGTACTCGCCAGTTGAAGCTCTTTCATCCGATATATGATTGTGTTGGATACAGTATGAAAAGTTCAATGGGCCAAATTACGGTCTTATGCGCCCCCGTTCTTTTTACTTCTTTATCCTTTATTCTACTTGATCTGTGTTTGAATGGAAGAACAACATTTGTATTTGTTAGATCAAATGAAATACATTATTTTATAACAATGTTCTCCTTTAAGAAAAAAACATTCTCATTATTTGTATAACTTTAATTATTCATACACTTTCATTATTTTTTCAAAAAATACTTGTCAACATGACTTCTCATCTTTTCTTTCTTCATTCACTAACTGCGTCTTTCAATTGAAGTACATCGTTTATTGAAACTGAAGGAGAATGGTAGCTTTTTCTTCCATTTTGACATTGTAGAATTCCATTTCATTATTCATTGTAACAGTTTTTTCATATAGTAACGTAAGCAAGAGAATGTTGACAACCATAGTCAAAGAAATAACAACCATGCTGAGTAGCAACCAACAAAACGCATATTTCATTCATAATTGAAAGAAGAAAAACTCGCTATCGTCAAGGTAGGCATTCGTTTATGTAGAATAGTATTAAGTATAGTTCTATGTCAGTTTGGTGTTTTCATTAAAGACTTCGCTTTGGAAATTGGATACATTAATATAATATAAAAGATTAGAGTATGAATGTAATTTCGATTATAGTTGTTGTACATGATATCGGATGCAGATGGCAATAATAAAAGATCTAAAGTTCGTAACGAGTATTAGATATTGATTAAATATTGAAGTAAAATGCAGCATATTATTCAGAATAATAAAAAAGTTTAATTTTTGTATTCTAATCATAAATATTATCTTTTTTTTGCAATGTCGACAAACTCACTAGTCTATTCTTTCAAATAAAACGAAATGTTTAGATTAGGTTTGATTATTTGTGTCACTATATACGTTTATTAAGTGATCAGAGCTTTTCGGACATCCTTTATGTTTGAATACGAATCACATTCAGCACATCCTTAAGACAATAAAAAAGAGACTAATCACTACGCTTCGTTTTTCAGTAAAAGTAGAGAGAGAGAAACAATAGAAATGGAATTAAATGAAATATTTATGGAATGAAAAAGAAAGAAATGTTGAAAGGATTTACATATTCTGTACTTCTTGAAAAAAAAGCAAGGAATAACAAACCGAATAATTTAAAAGCAAATGCCGATGATTATACTTCAATTGAAATCATCCTCTGTTTAAAAACATAATTTAGAAAGTAATTATGATGTCAACTTTCTGACAATTCAGAAAAACATCGAAAACGAAAAGAAATGTCAGAGAGTGTCTTAAAATGTTAAAGAGATTTTTATCACTACTTAAAATTATATATACAGGGTGATCAATTTATTTTAAAACGATTTCCATAGACTGTTTTCTCATCGATGACTTATACAGGTCTCCTGGTTTTCATATAAATCCATCTCATTTCATCTGTAGATGTTGCTATAAAAATCAGTTTGAGTTGATCGAGTGTCTTGTTATAGAATGAAGGATTACATGGAAATGGTCGCTAAAATATTTTTTGACAAAATTACACATAGGTACTCTTTCGAATTCACTCGTCATACTATTGCCGTTAGACTCAAAACTTATATAACGGATAGATCGAGTGTTAGTCTGTCCATTTTGAAAATTTCGACTATAAGGAACGAGAACTTCTTGATAAACCGAGAAGTGTTTCCCATGGGTACCACTTTAGTGTGACTGAAATAGAGCTTATTGCAATGCTTGTCCTGCTATCATTTTTAGTTCGATTCGAATCTTTCGATGATGATTATAAATGTTTGACATATTTCCACGTGTAGATAATTCTACAAGACAGTTAACTACTATCTAAGAATTCAAATTGAACCAAAAATAAGAGTAGAATAAGCATTGCAATAAGCTTCATTTTAGCTCCAACCAGGTAATATATAAAAGACACTTGACAATTTTTCAACAAATTCTCAGTTCTTACAACTGAACATTTCAGAATAGATAAAATAGCTGCCACTATATTTGTAATATAAATTTGGAGCCAAATAGTAATTAATTCGAAAATATACTTATTTAGTTTATTGTCAATTATATCAGTATGTGTATTTTTTGTCAAAAAGTGTTTTAACAAGCCTTTCCATGTCATTATCCATTCTATAACAAGACACTCAATTATCTCAAATTGATATTTATAGCAGCATCTACAGACGAAGTGAAACTGATCGATATGAAAACCAGACTACATGAATAAGTCACCGACGAGAAAATGGTCTATGGAAATCATTTCAAAATAAATTGATCACTCTGAAGGTATCTGAAAATGTCTCGAGCTCTTGTAAATTCAATGAAAATCATGAATAGCGATTGAAATCCTAAACATTTCTAAAATATTTAGAACCAGCTCAAAAGTACTCGAATACTTAAGACCATTTCTTCCTATCCTTTGCAAAATGTAATCGTGATACTTGCAATAAAAATCTTATAAACTTTAAAGAGTACATTGCAGGATCAAAACGGATAGGCTGTGATAAATTTTCTGTTCAATAAGGTTATGTTTGAGAGAGATATTCACTAAACCATTTATTCAAAAGCCATAGAAAAAGAACATGTGGACTCTTTTAAGCTATGGACATATACTCGTGCTTATTACTCACACACTTACACCCGCGTGGTCATAACTACACATTTTTTCCTCTTAGTTTTTCAGCAAGTTCTGTATTAAAGTGTCAAAAATTTATTTTTGTTCCACATATATATATACGTTTCTGATGACTATAGTAACCAATGTCGTTCTTCTTAAGCTACGCAGATAGACTTCGAGCAAAGCATCTAAAACTTTACCAACCGAAGTCAGCAAAATCATCAACGTCAACAACCGCCGAGCAGGCAGACTCCAATAGCTTCATCATAAAACGAGATCGTCGTCGAACTGATAAAAATGAAATCATTCAAAATTTTCTTTTGCTTTGGCTTGATGCTAAAATTGATGAATCCAGTGAAGACTATCGTAATTCAATCAAACATTTGCAACGTACCGTCAATACAATCAAACCATATCGAGATACAGAAGAATGTATCAATTATATATCAGAACTTGAAAATGAAAAAGCATTTTTGATTATTTCTGGTGCATTATGTGAAACTGTTGTGCCACGTATTCATAATATGGCACAACTCTATTCAATTTATGTGTTCTGTCGAAAAAAAGAAAAATATGAAGAATGGGCAAAAGACTGGCCCAAAGTGAAAGGTATTTTCACTGAAATTATTCCAATTTGTGATGCAGTTCGACAATCTGCTCGACAATGTGACGAAGATTCTATCGTCGTTAATGCTGTATCATCATTGAATCAAATCGAACCATTGTTCATGTATACACAATTTTTCAAAGAAATTATTCTAGAGATCGATTTCGAAGGAATCAACGAACTAGCCGAGTATGCGCGTGAAAAATACGCTGGGAATGACGAGCACTTGGCAATAATTGATGAATTCGTTCGAGACTATCGAAGTCATTTGGATGAAAATAACAAGCCTATTTGGTGGTATACTCGGGAGTGCTTCATATATCATATGCTAAATAAAGCACTGGCTAAATTACAAATAGAAATTCTTCTTAAAATGGGCATCTTCATTCGGGATCTACATCGAAACATCGAAAAAATTCATGCAGAACAGACAAATGAAATGTTCGATTGTACAACAAAAGAAATTACGGTGTATCGAGGTAAAGCGATGACTCAAGAAGATTTTAATAAAATTAAGCAAGGTGGTCTTTTATCATTCAATAATTTCCTCTCAACAAGTACCGATCGAACAGTAGCTATTGGATTTATTCAGGAAGGACTCGAGTCTAATAGTAAGAAAATTGGTGTTCTATTCAAAATGAATATTGATCAATCGATTTCATCATCATCAACACCATTTGCTCGCATTGACGAATATAGTTATTTCAAGACAGAGAAAGAAATTCTATTTTCCATGCATACAGTTTTTCGTGTTCATCAAATCGAAGAAAAGGAACATGATGGGATCATATTTTGGAGAGTAAAACTTTCTCTTACCAATGCTAGTGATGATCAACAACTGGGCACTCTCATGGAAAGTATGCGAGAAGAGATTACTGGTACAGGATGGCAAAAAATGGGTTTATTGTTATGGAAACTCGGCGAGAATAATAAAGCCGAACAATTGTACAACATGTTACTCAACGAGGCATCAAATGAAAGCGCTAAATCCTACTTTTATCACTGCCTTGGAATGATTAAGGATGATCTAGGACAATACAATGAGGCCATCGAATTTTATCAAAAATCTTTAGATATCAAAGAGAAAACTCTCCCTCCGAATCATCCCGACTGGGCTCAATCCTACAACAACATTGGTTCGGTGTATTATAACATGGGCGAGTACTCCAAAGCACTTTCATCGTATGAAAGAGCACTTGAAATCTGGAAAATAGCTCTCCCTCCGAATCATCCCGACTTGGCTATTTCCTACAGCAACATCGGTTTGGTGTATGATAAAATGGGCCAGTATTCAAAAGCACTTTCATCGTATGAACAATCACTTGAAATCCGAAAAATAGCTCTCCCTCCGAATCATCCCGACT